TAACAACTTATTTGAGAGGATCTCCTTTTGCACTTGATATATATATAGGAAAAAATAGATTATTTTTTACAGTTCTGCCCAGTGTGTACTGCCAGAAATCTGAAGAGTTCAGATTCTAGAACTGGATAATTCCTTCCTTTTGTAGTTACAGTTCCTGTGAAGGGTTTGGTCCTTCTGTGTGCCCAGCCTGTCTTTGGGCAGGCCTTTCTCTGACCCTCCCATCTTAGTTTCCTGGAAACATCCCAGTGTTTCCCAGGATCTCCCTGCCCTGTCATACTGGGATGCTCACTGGCAGCGGGTCAGAGGTGTTGATTTGTTGATTTTAATCAGCTTTCAGTGGTTGCACAACTGGAGTGGAGCATTTCAGGCCATGTCTGGAGCTCTGAGCCGTGTTTTAAATCACATCACAAGGGGGTTTGTGGTGTGCAAATGTTTCTCAGCCTCCAGCTCTAAGTGCTTTTAGTACATCCTTATCAATATTTATTAAATGTGGTGGCAGCTCTCACTGTCTAATATCATTAGTATAAATATTTCTGCATACCCAGAGACTACTTGATATTATTAATTACCGAGTTCTCCTGAGTGACTGGTTTGATTTGACTGGAAGTGTTTAATGTCACCTGCTGTCTATAGAAGTTATTTCTGATAACAGGTAAAATAATTAAAGCTGTTGGTCCTTTTTTTTCCAGGCAACAAGCTACTCCCTCATGCCCTTTGCAGGCTTTGGGATAGGGGTTAGTATCCCAGGAGTAGCTGCTACTCCTGCTAGTGGGTGTATGCTGTGTGTGTAACCAAAGCATGGGCTCTGTGCTTGCAACCTGCCTTTGGGGGTGAATATTCAGAGACAGGGAATAATATCCTTCAGCAAAGACTGTTTTTCCCCTTGCTAAATAAAAATGCTGGGCTTTGATCCCTGGATATGGATGGGATGATCCTTGGAGAGACTCCAAACTCTGAGTGCTGCCTGTGGATGGACATCGGCAGCTTGAGCGTGTTTGTGGGGTTGTTCCCACAAAACCAGGAGCTCTGGTCACAGCTGAGGCAAACCAGCTCCTGCATGTGGGAATCTCACTGCAACTGGCCTTGGAATGTTGTTCTGCTGTAATTTGGGGGGCTGGAATATCCTGTAAAATATCTATAATCTGCCTGTAATTCAGAGCCCTTAAGGATTCCAAATTCTTGTACTCAAGAAACGAGTTGAAGATTTTATATATCTGAATTTTACTTAGTTTGGGGCTTAAGCTGCAGATTCAGTTTTTAAACTTTGAAATGAATTTATTTCAGTTTAAAGCACGAAGGGTCACACAGTCCTTTTACAGCAGAACCTGATGAGGTTGGAAGGTACATGAAAACTTTTGTAAAATAAACTCATATTGTGTCCAGTTTGACATCTGAATGTCCAATCTTCCACTTCCATCTTCCCAATATCTCCAACTTAACAACCAGGCTTCCACGCTACTTCCAGTTTTCCTTGGAAAAGATGCATTTTGGCTTGTCTGTGTGTGTGAATTGCAGTCTGAAAACCTTTCTGATGCTCTGAGTTGCATTAAAAATGCATGTAAAAAACAGCTTCAGGACTGGAAGAGTCAGAAGAGTGTGTTTTAATTGTGATATCTTTTTATCAGGATGCAGATTTTGGGGATCCATTTTCTGCCATGGACAGGATGATGTCAAACATGAGGAACAGTATGCTGGAAATGCACAGGAAATTTGTAAGTTCTTCTAAAATTGGTTATAAAACTAACTATTGAAGAATGACAGTTATTTGAAATATCACTCAGAAAAATGTTACTCATCTCAAGGAGACAGTGAGAATTTATATTTTTTGCCCAGACTATATTGTGGTTATAATTTTTCTTTAGTCTTTGAAAATAAAATCGAGGGTGTTGCCCACCAGGCCTTATCTGGGGTGCCAGGAGGGTTGATTTAATCACAATAAAATAGTAAGAAATACCTGTTACCCACCAGATTTCACTTTTGTTGATGAGTTGCTGTTGCTGTGTAGGATGACCTGTCCATGAACCCCGATGGACACACGTTCAGCTCCTCCTCCATGATGACTTACTCCAAAGTGGGGGATGAACCTCCAAAGGTTTTCCAGGCCTCAGCCCAGACTCGCACGGCCCCGGGAGGGGTAAGTATTCCTGGCATCCAGCTAAAGCTGGGCTGCCCTTACCAGGATTGAGGTTGAGCCACACCAAACCACGCTTTGCTCAAAGTTCTTTTCACTGGAGAGAGTTACTCTTGTCATTCCCAGGATCACTGAGGTTGGAAAAGGCCTCCCAGCCCATGGATCCCCCCTGTGCCCGATGCCCACCTTGTCCCCAGCCCAGAGCACTGAGTGCCACAGCCAGGCCTTCC